TTTTTTTTTTAAGTGAAAGGTCTCAACTATCCTTTATCAGTGCTACTTAAACTTTAATATGTATAAGAATCTCCTGGTGATGTTAAAATGCAGATTCTGGTTCAGTAGGTCTGGCTCAGGTCCTGGGTGGGCTCCAGGTTCACATTCCTTACAGGCTGTTAGGAGATGCTGCTGTTCTAGAGAATTGCAGAGTCACGAGTCCATTTGAGCATCAGACTGTATGAAGGGGGAGAGTCATGTTAGACCCACAGGGAGTGTTGGGGTCACTCCCGTTATCTTTAATATTCTGTGGGTTCATGAAATTCAGCCAGAAACAATTGATTCTTAGTAGCTGCCCCTGAAAGGTTTTGACTTATTCTCGAGCTCCCCCAGGTGGCCCAGTGAAAATTAAACTTTACAGCCTTGTCAACAGCGGTGAGAAAAGGACAGCTTGATTTGAAACTCGCAAATCATCTAAATGTACATTACCAAGAAATATGAAGACAAATAGGGGCAATGCGAAAGTGGTATTTTATGAGGAATTAAAACATTTTAAACGGAGCTTAATATGCTTTTAGCTGGATTGTACGTGAATGCACTTTAAGTTAATGTGATTTTGTTAATTTTATGTAGCAATTGTGGGCACACTTGAAGCTGAAAAAGAAAGAAGAAAATCCGGGCTGTCATCCAGAGTTCAGTTTCGAAACCAAGGTTCTGAGCCCAAATATACTCAAGAACTAACTCTGAATAAGCAGAAGCAGAGAGTGTGCATGGAGGAAACTCTCTGGCTACAGGTAAGAGCTGTAGACAGTCACACAGTCACATCAGTTTTTTAAAGAGGACAGAAGTTGGAATTTATGGTGACGTGTAGACTGAAATTTATTCTAGCAATCCATTAATCGATGCAAAATTATTGTTTTGGAGTTCCTCAGTAGCATTTATACTATGCTTAACTAAATCACATGTACTTTTCAGGAAAATATCAGAGATAAACTGCGTCCCATTCCAATAACTGCTTCAGTGGAGATCCAAGAGCCAAGCTCTCGTAGGCGAGTCAATTCACTTACAGAAGTTCTTCCAATTCTGAATTCAAATGAACCCAAGACAGTTCATGCAGATGTGAGTCTTTCTGATCTTTGTTTTGACAAAGTTTTTGCCATGCTATGATACTAAATCAAATGTATTTGAAGGCAGTAGGACTAGATTTGCTTTAAAGGCCAATCCTTTGTGTTAATATGCTTTTTAATATACACGAAGTCTGTTTGAGAAGACTTGTTCCCCAGATAAGCAATGAATATAGTAGCATATGAAATACAACTTGGGGCCAGAGAGTACTATTCTTCATTATTTTTGGCCACTGTAATTTATTGAGACTATAATTGGCAGAGCTTATATACTCACACACTTTCTCCTGTTAGCTACGTGCAGAAAGAAAAATACATTGTATTTTACCATTGAGAACCTTAAAATATAGAGAGTAAATTGTTGTTGGAACATTAAAATCAAGGAATATCCAAATTCAAGAAGGCCAAAAAATATTTTTAGCGGTGAAATAATCCTTTAGTGCCTAACGTAGCTCAAGAAGGAAAATCTGTATTATGTGGCTTACTGGACACCTTATATGAGATGGGGTCTGTTTGCTAGGGTTTAGGATGATTGAGATGCAAGATTAGCCTAGGAAACTATGACATCTTGATTTAGCATGATGCACTTGCTGTCAAAGCCCAACTGGTGCCCGACTGTCCACTGTGAGGCCCCTGGGACTTGTTGGTAGCTCACCGATGTAGCTTTGCAGGAATACTTGCTGCCTTAGGCTAAGGAGCTGATGCCGCAAAGCCCAACTGGTGCCCGACTGTCCACTGTGAGGCCCCTGGGACTTGTTGGTAGCTCACCAATGTAGCTTTGCAGGAATACTTGCTGCCTTAGGCTAAGGAGCTGATGCCGAAATCTATACTTTGTCAATCTTTTATCACCAAATATATAGTTCCTTATATTTTTGTATACTTTTGTGTACTTTGACATTATTGGTGGTTATCATGTTAGGATTTCTTGTGTACATTCCCAGCTCTGTAGCCATGTTAAACATAACAAGCAAGGAGACAGTTTTTCTGATTATTTATCAGTGTGATTACCGAGTACCCATTAGCATTGTGCAGAGTACCCTGTGCCATTTGCTTTCCTGACCTCAAGCTCTCTGCTTCCTCATCTGTACAATGGGGATCATAATAATAGTATCTTCCTCAAAGGTCAGTTGTGAGGATTAAATGACTTAAAATATGTAAATTATGTGTTAGCTGGCATCATCATTATTATTGATAATTCTTACAGTAGCCCTATAAAGGAGGGTGGTGGTGTCCCCAAGGGACCTATGGTGAAACTTAGATTCTGGAAGGTTAAGTGATATGCCTGAAACCCCACAGCAATCAGGTTTGGAACCCAGATCCACGCAGCTGCAGGGCTCATACTCTACAGTACCACACTGTCCAGTCCCCTGGTCAGGGAGTTCTTAAAACACAGTTTTGTTAAGGACAGAGTGGGAACTAGGTGCATGGCAAAGTATGTTTGAAGCTTGAATTCTACGGTGATAGTTTTCACACAGGGAAATGAACTGTTAAACAGCCAACACCTATTTAGATGCCTTTCTGAGTTCTGAATGGCGTAAATGACAATGGTTTTGTTTTCCTACAGGTGCACTTCTTAAAAGAGGGATGTGGAGATGACAATGTATGTAATAGCAACCTTAAACTAGAGTATAAATTTTGTACCCGAGAAGGAAATCAAGACAAATTTTCTTATTTACCAATGTAAGAATCGCTCTGTAGCACTAGCAAAAATGACTCTGGCTTCACGGTGGCTTTTTGTTAAGAAAGTATTACTGAAAATGTATTGAGGACTCTTTTTCTTTGTTGTTGTTTTTTTATATAGTCAAAAAGGCGTGCCAGAGCTAGTTCTAAAAGATCAGAAGGATATTGCTTTAGAAATAACAGTGACAAACAGCCCTTCCAATCCAAGGAATCCCAAAAAAGATGGTGATGATGCCCATGAAGCTAAACTCATTGCAACATTTCCGGACACTTTGACTTATTCTGCATACAGAGAGCTGAGGGCTTTCCCTGTAAGTATTTTTAGAGACCAGCTGGGAGAAAAAAACCAACACCACGTGGCAAATAACGAACATATGTGACCTAGTGCATTTTCCTGTTATAGGAGAAACAGTTGAGTTGTGTTGCCAACCAGAACGGGTCGCAAGCAGACTGTGAGCTCGGAAATCCTTTTAAAAGAAATTCCAGTGTAGGTGATGCCTTCACGAATTGTATTTTACTGTTTTAAATACCTTTCCAGTGTCTGTATGCTTGGCCTGTGTTAACAGCTATTTATATTTTTTTAGGTTACTTTTTATTTGATTTTAAGTACAACTGAGGTCACCTTTGACACGACTGATCTGGATATTAATCTGAAGTTGGAAACGTAAGATTTACTTCAACCCTTCCATTCAGAATCATTTTATGAAAACACAGGCAGTCAATGAATTGGCCCT